TTTCTCAAGGCCGCGCGCTGCGTCAAGCCCGACATTCAGTTCATCGCGCCGGGCAAGTGCCCCAAGAAGATGACGACGTGCGGGATCGCCAAGTGCCAACTGACAAAAGCCAAGGTGTGCGCGTCCATGGACGGCGGCAAGACGGAGCTCAAGTACCAGAATCAGTGCTTTCTGGACGCGGCGACGTGTGTGAACCCGCTGATCAAGAAGGTGGCGGCGTGCAAGGCGCGGCGGGTGCTGTCGGTGGCCGCAAGCAACACGACGATGACGGTGGACGAGGTTGACTCGGACCTGGACGATGATATCGGCAGCTTGGTGATCCCGGACGGCAACTTCGATGACGACGACGATGATTTCCTCATCATTGATGACCTCATGGACCCAACAACAGTTGTGAACGATACTGTTCCGGTCAGCAAGAACACGTCGGCGCCAAATGTGTCGACGCCGGCACCGTCCAAGAAGCCATCTGCCGCACATGTTGATGGAACTCTGGCGTGGGCAGTGCTGACGATCGCCACTGTCCTTGTGGCAGCGGCGTAGAACGATGCTTTCTATGGACCTTTTTTACGGCTACACCCCATGAACATAAACAATGTTTGAATCTCACTTGGCTAATCTCATTTGGCTCCACCAAATTCGCAAAACCCCGTCATCGAATGCGAGCCATAGTTTTGAATTGTTCGAGTTTGTGTGATTCACGCGTCCAAGTGCAGAGTGCTGCCGCGCTGACGTCTGTCTTTGCGAAATATCGGTTCCGGTGGGTGGTTGAAACGATCCTTTCTCCTCACAAGAATTCTTTGAAGACGTCGAAAACCTAGGGAATAACACAATTCCCTTAACCAAAACCAGCCAATGATGTGGTCCGAGTTGTATCAATGAATCAAGTAGGTGCGTGCAGAACGGATGCCCGTGGTGGGTGGCGCCCACCGACGTTTTTGTCCCTGTGCGAGGAAACAGCTAGGGTGTTTCCAAGGATGTCGCGAGGTGTCCCATGTCGTATCCTTGTCCACGACATAGCAACACTCGGCATGGACCTTATTAACACACGGCGGTTCCTCAAGGCGATCTCAGGGAAAACGCCGGGGCCGTCTCCTTCATGTCGCACGGCTCGGGGTTTCTACACCGCTCGTTGGTGCCTTCAAAGTCGACGCATTTTCCAATCGGCGCTCACATGCAGTTGAACGGATCCTCGATCTTGACGGTCATTGTCAACGGCCAGCCCACCGAGATTTCGTGGGCGCAGCTGGCGTCGGCGGTCGCGTCCTCGCCGACGATTGCACCTCTTCACACCCTGGACCTTTTTTGGTTTGTCTTTGGTGGCGTCCTCGTCTTCCTCATGATGCTCGGCCTCGCGCTCCTCGAGCTCGGCTGCGTTCACAAGAAGAACACTAAGCACATTCTCATTCGCATTCTCGGCGACTGCTGCATCACGGGCTTGACGTACTATGCATTTGGCTACGGCTTGGCCTTTATGGACGGCAACGGCTTTATTGGTTCGTCCGGCTTTTTCATGCAAGGCGCCGCGTTCATGGGTTCCTCGGACGATCATGCGTACAGTGGTCATCGGTACGCCGACTGGTTCTTCCAGTGGGCGATCGCATCCGTGGCCGTCAACATTTGTCACGGCGCGCTCGCCGAACGCATGCAACTCCGCGCGTACTTTGTCTACTCGTTCTGTGCGAGTCTCTTCATCTACCCAGTCTGCGCGCACTGGGTCTGGGCCGAGACGGGCTGGGCGAGTATGTTCAACGAAGGCAACCTCCTCTTTGACATTGGCGTCATGGACTTTGCCGGCACCGGTTGTCTGCATATGTTTGCGGGCACGTCGGCGCTCATCGGGTGTCTCTTGCTCGGCCCGCGCACTGGTCGGTTCAGCGAAAAAGGCGACGCACGGGAGCTGCCGCAGCAGTCGGTGTTGTTTCAGTGCATGGGCACGATGATTCTCTGGTTTGGCTGGTACGGCTTCAACTGCGTCTCGACGCTCGGTCTTGGCGGCACAAAGGCCGATGTTATGGCCAAGGTCGCGGTCAACCTCACGCTCTCGGCGTGCACGGCCGGCTTCGTCACGGTGGTTCTCGACAAGCTCTTTGTCACCAAGACGTACGACCTTGGCCAGGCCAACAATGGCATTCTCATTGGGTGTGTCGCTGTCACGGGCGCGTGCCCTGTGCTCGAGCCCGAAGGCGCTATCGTCATGGGCGTTCTGGGCGCGATGACGTATCTGGCGCTCAAGATTTTGCTCGCGCGCGTCGGTGTCGACGACGTCGTCGATGCGATCCCAGTGCATGGCGGCGGCGGTTTCCTCGGGACGCTCGCCCCCGGCATGCTGGCGTCGCCCGGGGGGGTCCACATGTTTTACGGCCACGAACGGACCAACTGCGGCTTCTTCTACACGTGCGAAGGCGGCGGCGGCAAGCAGTTTGGCGCGCAGATCGTATACGCGCTCGCCATTTTCGCCTTTGTCGCGTGCTGCTGTGCCATTGTCTTTGGCGCGATGAAGTCGATGGGCTGGCTCCGTGTCTCGCTTGAAGCCGAGACGATGGGCTTGGATGCGTTTGAGCATGGCGGGTCGGCCTACGATGACGGCGACGAAGCAACGATGACGAACAAGGAAAGTTACCACGACGCCATCGAGAGCCCCACTCTGCCGTAATGTAATATGATTGAATGGCTTTCATCGACGAAGGAGTACTAGTATGAGAGTGCATCCGAGGTACCTGGGAAGACCACGTTGCGCCTCCCACGATGTGCCACGTATGTTTGCAACACGCAACCTGGCAGTTGGCCTCTAAATGATCCTGCTCGAGCCGTGGACCGACGGTTCGGTCGATTTTGCTCCTGCCCAGGCTCCATTTTTCGCCGAGCCGAGCCGTGAAGTGGCGTTCCTGGCAGCACTGATTTCTCGACTGCAGAGTACATACCCTTGGGTAGCACCGAACGACTAAATGAAATAGCAAGAAAATGCGCCGCTCCGTGGTCAATGGGAACACCAAAGGTGCGCGACCGTAGTGAGCGCAATGGCGTTACGTAACCTCTCTTGTTGGCGATATATATCGTGTTGGCGACCATGAATCGGGTTGCGCCGTACCATGGTCCAGCAGCCGACGTCATCAGCGCGTCGCGGCTCCCACTGCTCTTCGAGCTCGTTGGCATGACGTACCTCGTGGCGTCCGTGGGCCTGAGCTTCGCCGCGCTCAGTGCGTTTGGTCGCTACACGAGCTCCGACTTTTTTGTTGCCGATTTTGGCAGCACGACAGCCCTCATCGTGCAGGCGTTCAACACAGCGCTGACGACGACGTCGGCATCGACCACCGTTGACATGACACTACCAACGCTGTCGTCTGTGCCGTTGGGTGTCAACCCGGCATACCCGCGCCTGCTTATGTACAGTGAGCTCACGACATTACCCGTTGCAATCCAAGGCCTTCGGCGCTTGAGCCCGAGCCTCGTTGTCAAGATGGTGTCGCTCTACTGCTGGGTCGACCTGGGGCGGCAGTGGGAGCTTGCGTACTCGGCGACGCGCCAAGCGCGATGCTCGCGCGCGTACGCTGAGAACGGTGCCGTGTACCTCGAGTCCGTGCTGCGCAACATTCCGCTTACCGCCTGGCTCAAGCTCTCGGGCAGCAAGTTTGAGCAGTGCATTGGTCACCCGATCCGAACGAGCGGGCCCGCCGGTCTGCAGTGGTACAATGACCTTCTCAACCACACGACGTGGAGTACGCTAGACGATGAGCTTGCGCTTTGGCGTGCCTCGGGACTGCGGCATTTTACGCTCCAGTATGGAACCGGCATTGGCATGGGCGTCACCGAGTCGATTGGTGTGATTAATGCACTCGGGGTCTCGCTAACGCTGCCGCTCAAAGCCATTCCGATGGTGAATCGGTGGGTGTTTCGCACGACGTTGGTTCTGAACGACCTTTTGTACAACGATCTCTGGGCCATTGCCAAGAACCAGAGTCTGGTCCGGAGCGCCCCCAACTACTTTGGCGGCCCCAACCCGTTCGCGATCGAGGCGTACGCCAAGGGACACCCGCTCAACGCCGTCTACCAAGCTTTGCACGACCAGCTCGGTCCGCTTGGTAACATTGACGCGATCTGGTTGCCACCGCCAAAGGCACTTGTCGCAGCGGTCTCGAGGTTTTGCACAACGATCCTCGCACACATGCGCGACAATGCTACGGTCGCCGCGCTTGTCCACGAGGCCAGTCGAACGTTCGTCCTCATGCCGACACCAAGGCGGTGGCAAGACCCGACCTTGCGCTTCTTTGGTGGTAACCCCATGTGCGGAGATGGATCCGCCTTGCCGTTTGTGCTGCAGACGCTTAGTTTTGACGACGTCTGTGGCGCCCAGCGCCCGCTTACACTCGAGTGGCAGGGTCTCAACGGCTTGTTTGCCTATTATGTGACGCCGATGTTGAATGCATCTTTTTGCAGCCAGTGCTCCCTCGAGGCGCAAAGCGACTGCGTGCAGGGCTACCTTGCCGCACAGCGTGCTGTCGAGGCGCTTGATCTCACCACATCGAGTCTGCTTGCTTGGAATGGATCACTCGTGGACGACTTCTCGATCGAATTGCTTCAGATGGTGCAGACCCCACTCGGCTCGATCGCGCTCGAGTACCAACCGCTGCTGGAGCCAAATTGGGCCTTCTTTGGAGGCATGATGCTCTACGACTGGGTGCTCAACTATCGCGAGGTGCTCTCATTGCATGGCGACGTTGAGCAGCGCCATCTCATTTCAAGCTTTTATGCACCCAAAGCGTTTGATCCGCTCTTGCCACCCGCAGGGTTAGGGCCGTACCTCCTGCGCTTTGGGTCGATTCTCACGATCACCTTGGCGCTTGTGGGAGCGGTAGCGCTCAGTCTCTGGCTCCGCGTGCGACCGCGGGGAACACCGTGGTTTGCGTTTTGGCCCGTCGCGGGCTCGGTCTGGGTCAGCCGTAACCTCCTTCTTGTCCGTGGTTTCATGGCCACGATCTGCATGGCTAGCGTGCCCTTGCAAACGATGGCGACGCCGTCGCTGCGCTACCTTGCGGCACCGCCTCGACCGTGGTATCTCAGCTGCCTCTTGGCAAGCGAGTCTCTCTGGCTTGTCTACTGCATCCAGGACGTGCTGCTGCCCTACACATACGCAAGTGTCCGCGCCACTGCGCCGTACACGTCCCTTGCAGCGTGGTGTATCGTCGTGTTGCTCGACCAAGGCGCGGTGCTTCCGCTTCTTGCCTCCATTGACCGCAGCTGCGCTTTGATAGACATGGACAACGCCATGGTGTGTGAGAGCGGGTCGCTGTACGTCGGGTGGTCCTCGCGTGCGCTGCTTATCGTTGGCATAAACACTATGTCGGTGGCGCTCTGTGTACTGTGGGCCATCACGCATCGGGACGGGGACCGCATCCAGCCGCATAAGCTACTGCCGCTCTCGGCGGTCGCACCGACGGCACCCGCCACCAACGTTCACGTGGAGCTCAACGACGTGGGCGCCTGGGTCGCCGGTATGGTGTATCTCCGCTACAACGACTCGGATTACCTCTTTGACTGCAAATTGTGGCGGCTCGTGTCCCTCGAAGATTATAGCATTCAGCGACGGCAATGCCGCAGTCAGTTCCACGCGGTGCACGGTGCACCGTCGTCGACGCCGCTGCAGAGTCTGCCCCACCAACCATCGATTTTGTCGGCGTGGTGGAGTCGACACGGTCGTGGTGGCCACTCTATCATTGTCATCTTGGCCATTACGTACATGGTGTTTACCCTTCTTGGCAATCTGGCGTATCTCACGGTGCTGCAAGGCGCCATGGCCAACGACTTTGGCTGGGCTGGCTTCAATACCTCCGGGACACACGCCTTTTTGGCCAATCTATGCAACCGGCAGCTTCTCGAACGTTCGCAGTTGGCGTCGTTGGAGCTCGAGAGCCCCGAAAACAGCGATCTCTCGCAGTCGTACGCGACAGCGACGTCGGCGACCATTTCGTGGTACCCCACGACACCCCGCCGACAACTCTTTGCCCCCAGCCCGGAGCTGGCCGACGTGATCCGCGGGCTTCGATCAATGGACCCAGCGCAGCTGCCGTGGATGTTTACGCAGTACTGCTGGCTCGACTTGAACCAAACATGGTCCATGGCATCGACGCCCCAACGACAAGTGCGCTGCGCGGCGACGTCAGTGCATAATGGCGCACGGTACCTCGAGACGAGCCTCCGCAACCTCCGCAGCTGGGACGTTTGGTGGTCGTCGTGGGGTGTCTCGTACTACTTGGGCATCCAAAGTGTTCTCGAGACATCGCTAAGAGGGCGAGCGTGGCAACAGCAAGTGCTCGCCGCCGGGAGCACGTCGATCGACGACGAAGTGGCCTACTGGCAGCTGTTTGGGATCACCACGTTTCTATTGCAGTGGCAAAACTACAAGACAACTGGCTTTCAAGATGCACTCGTGCTCACGACGGCGCTCAATTTGCAGTACCAGCTACCATTGAGCAATGTGGATATGAACTTTGATATGACGCGCCAAACCTCGATGCGCATGTACTGGAGTTTCGCCAGCGATCTCTGGGCGATCGCGGCGAATACCACACGCCTTGCGGGCCGTTCGCTGCTGTCATCGAGCCCCATGTTTGCGTACTCCAATGTCACACCCGAGCAGCTACTTTTTGACAATTATACGCTTGTCGCGCCGCTGTCATCGGGCTTGACGAGTTTGCAAGCGACGCTCGGTCCGTTCAACGTCATTGACTTGGTCTACGTGCCGATCCCGCCCCGGCTCCAGGCCATGTACGCAGCGCTTCTGCGGGTGGTTGCCAACTTGACCGTCTCAGACTTGGCCGCCCAAGCCGCGTACCTCAACCTTCCGATCAAATCCTACATTGGCCACGTCCCCAGCGATCTCTTGAGCGACGTCGCTGCCAAGATTGTGGGCGGCAACGTCTTTTGTGGCGACGACATTGCGCCCACGTCCCCGTCCAGTGCGCTCGCGGCGCCATTCAGCACCGACAGCTTGTGCCACTCGTGGCGTCTCGAGTACCTCAGGCCCTCCAGCACGGGGCTGCTCCTGGCGCTCGTGGGGTATGCAACTGTCTATGGCTTCAACCCGATGGTGGATGCGAATGCGTTTTGCAGCTTGGATGTGTACGCCGAGCCGAATTGCGCGACCATCTACACGGCCAGCTGGAACTTTACGCGCAACTATAGTGCTTGGTTTGAGGACGTCTCGGCGCTTGCGCAAGCGACGCACGCCGACGTCGAACGACTCGATATTCGCCTGGTGCAGTATGTGACCCGTGGCACGCCCCAGGTCGAGCTCTATGAGCGCGGGTTCTTTGATGCGTCGTTGGACCGCATCTGGCCGTTCTTTGGGTGGTGCTACCTCTACGAATGGGCGATCGGCCAGCGCGAAGTCGTCTCGTTTCAAGGCGACGCTGGTACACTGACGACGATTTCGACGCATTTGAATCCCGTGTCTATGACGCTGAGTGCGAGTTCGATTCCGACACAGCTTTCGTACATGTGTCAGCAGTGCGCCCGGTACGTCACGGGCCTTTGCATTGGCGTCACGGGGCTTTTGGGTATCTACGGCCTCGCAGCCGGTGGCGCTATCGAAGGCCTCAATTTGCTCGAGTTTAACCGTATTGTCGGCCACGTCTGGGTTGGCCGGACGCTGTTGGTGGTGCGCAGTCTGACGGCGCTATGGCTTTTAAACACGAGCACGCTCACGCTCAGCGTGGTGGGCCAAGCGACACAATTCACCTTGCCGCCATTGCCGTGGACCAAAACCGTCCTTGCCGCCTCCGAGCTCACATGGCTCAACTACATTCTCAACGACCTTTTGAGTTTTGCAACCGAGCGCATCACTATCTACTACGCGTGGAAATCGACCTTTTGCACATGGCTCATTGCTGTCATCTGGACGATCCAAGCGCCGCAGCAGTACACGGCGTATTTGGACCGAAGGTGCGACTCGATCGACATGGACAGCGGCCTCGTTTGCACCAGCGCCCACGTGTACATTGGCAGCTTTCAACGCGTCGTCGTCGACTTGGCGATTGTGGTGTCGTGCGTGCTCGGCCTCGCAGTGATCGAGTGGCTTCGACTGCGAAAAAAAGAGTTGCCGAACCGAAGCATCCCGACGCTCCTACTGAGCTCGTCGAGCTTGTATATGCTGGAACTTGACAACTGGATGCACCTCGGAGAGTGCTACCTGGACCAAGCGTCCGGCGTCCTCGCCGGTCTCCTCACGCTGCATTGGCGCGCCCAGCTCTATGTATTTGACATCAAAAGCTGGCGACTTTATACAGTCAGCGTTCCAGTAAACACAAAGCTCCGGCATCGCTTTCGCCGTGCGATCCCGCTCACGCAATTTCGCTGAGAGACGCGGGAGTATTTGCCACCTGCACCTTTTTCGCAACCAAAGCACCCTCAATA